TGGGGAGGTGGGTGGGGGTGGTGGTGGCTGTCCGCACTGTGGAGCCACGGCCTTGATGTGTCTCTCCCCAAAGCCAGGCCAGGGGATGCTGCTGGGCCAGCCCAAGGGTCTGAGGGTGCCACAGGGCCAGGTGCCACCCTCTATAAACCATCTGCTTCCAAAGGAGAGGCCCCAGCAGCAGGAAAGCCCCACACCCATTGCTCTCCTCTGGCTTTTGCAGCACATACATGAGAGTGAAGCAGTTCATCAAAGCGGACAGAGACAAGGTAAGGGCTCCCGGGGCTCCACGGGCTCCTGGGCAGACAGGGCTCCTCTGGGCTTGTTGTTCAGTGGGATGTGGCGAGTAGCAGGGCTGGTGGCTGAGCCGGTGGCGGGAGCTGGCTGTTCACAGCACCATGGGTGGCTGATGGCCCCTCTGCTCCCCATGCAGGTGCTGATCCTGAGCCCAGCTTTCCTCAAGTACATCCATGACAACTGGACGCAGCGCCACGGGCGGTACCCCTCCACCGGCTTCACGGCCCTGGTCTTCGCCTTGCACGCCTGCCAGCAGGTGAGGAGGGCGGCTGGACCGTGGCACTGCCACCGTGGCACTGCCCCTCTGCGTGCTCTGGGGCTGCCCCGGCACCCATGGCTCTTGCTGGTGCCTGTGCAGGTCTCCGTGTTCGGCTTCGGAGCAGACGGGGACGGGAACTGGCACCACTACTGGGAGAAAAACCGCTGGGCGGGAGCCTTTCGCAGGACAAGGGTCCACAACGCTGACGTTGAATTCAGCCTCATCGAGAGACTGGCCGCCGAAGGCAGGATTTCATTCTACAAATGATGTATCCCCAAGGAACTGAAGCACAGGAACTGGCAGCCCCTGCGCTGCCGGCAGCTGCCCCCAGCTTGCTTCACCCCCCCGGCGCTGCCAGGGCCTGGGCTCAGACCCTGCCCTCCCCAGGGTCTCGGTGCTGCTCGTGCTGGTCCCCCCGGGCGGGCGCGCTGGGTGCCACGCTTCCCAGGGCACCAGGACATGGCATGTGGCTGGACACAGGGCGGGCACGGCCCTGCCCATGCTGGCTGGGACAGTAAGGGGTATGGAGTGGCTGAAGGTGGGCGAGAAGGTGCTGTGGTGGCCTCTGGGTGACAGCGGTGGTGGTGATGCAGCTGCTCAAACGTGGCTGGCTGCACCTCGGAGCCGACATTTCCACCCACCGACAGGTTTTGGGGGAGGTTTGTAGTTGCTCTTTGGGCCCGGGGAGAAAGGCAGCTTTCTTTCCAGTCTTTTTATACCTAAAGAAATATTTTAAAAATTGTATCAAAGAAGAAAGGAAAACAATCAAGCGTCCAAGTCAGAAGATGACAGAATCACGTACAGGTGAAATGATCTTACGTTGAATAAATGTTGAAAACACACATGAAATTAACACTTGCTTTACTTTTTAAGCCCTTACTGCTTTGAAAAGACAGCAGAATCTCCCTCAGAAACAAGCTCCCCAAAGGTTTTCTCCTCCAGAGCAGATTCAGCAGGATCTCTTTTCCTACTTTCAATCACAAACATCCTTCGATCAGACTCAGCTTTTCCATTGCTATTACCCACTTGGTCTTTCAGTCCATTAAAATCACCAGATCTCTCCTACTCGTAAGGTCCCATTCTATAGCAGAGGCATGTATTGCTTAACTATTAGCTTCTGGGATTTTCTGCCTCTCCAGGTAGAATCTCCATTTCTTTATGCCTTCTGTTTCTCTTCTCAATTATATCCGGTTTCCCACAATGAGTACAAGTCTTGCACTTACCCGTCCCTCCACCTTCCCTGTTTTCTCTCAGCAGTGCTCTCTCCAATGCTGTTCTGACGTTTGCAAGGAATTGGCCTTCTTATCAAAGACTAGCTGGTAATTATTTAACTGTGGGTTAAACTCTTGCAAACTTATTGCCATTAATCTTCCCCCTCCTGATTATTCTTTCAAATTTAGTCACAAAGCTGTGTGCTTTGCTGAGCGACTGACACTGTTCAGGTCACTTTTTGTTCTTGATGAAACACATAAATACTAAATCCCCTTCCTCACACTGGAGAAGTACTATATGATCCAGACTCAATAGATTTATTAAATACCCTTATTTCAAATGATTGTTTTTTGTAACAAACCCTTTTTTCCCCAGTATTCTAGCTTGATTAATCACACACACCTCCACACCTCAAACTGCTTCTCTCCCTGACTGAAAAAACACTGGTTTTACACTCCCTGGTTTGTACCTAGGCTCAACTAATTAAAAAAATCTAAACAAACCTACTTTCAAATGAATTATAAAATAGCTTTCTCCCTGCGTTATCTGATCCCATGCCTGTCATACTCACTGTGCACTGCTGGACCAATCGCTTGGACCAAGTTCACAGTCAATACCAAAACAAAGCCAAAGCTGAGATTTAAGAATAATGCATCTGCTTTGCCTAAAAATGAGGCAGGAATTCACAAGAGTTTATTTTTCCTCACTATTTTCAATTTTCTCCCACTATAATTTCACATACCAAGCACTTTATTCACTTGTGTAGGTCATTAAAAAGAAAAAAACCAACCCAAATCATAACCATCATGCTATCTACATATTTAGCTGCAATGCAGTTGGGGTTTTTAATTATCATTTCCAATTCAGTACCAGGGTTAGTTTAAATAATTTAATTATTCTTCCAAATGCTTTACCAAAACACAGAGAGGATGGACTTTATTTCAAAATATAAACAGGGGGAAATGAAAAACACAATCCAATTTAAAAATCAATTAAAATGCCATACACTTTTTTTACTGAAATACCAGCTTGCATCTTTCATAAGAAGAGGGATGTGGAGCAGCTGCAATGCCCTGCAGGACAGTCAGCGCCTCCCAAGCGCTGGGTCTCCCCACGCTGCCCAGGACAGCGGGAAGGAAAGCACTGACTGTTCTGAGCACATTTTCACAGAGGTCTGGCACACGCACCAGCACACTCACAAACATTTTTAAGAAAAATTTAAAAAGCTAGATGGCGTTGCGAGAAAGCTTATTTGATGGTAACTTCAATCCATTCCAGGTCTCATATGTTACTCCTGGAAGCAAACAGAATGCAGTGTCTCCAGCATCTCTTCGGGGAAGGAGGGTGGAACTGGGTGAACATGGACTGACACAAAAGGGTTTTTACAGTAGGGTCTGCACAGCCAGACAAGATGTCTAATCTTTATAGCAGCAAGGTTCAAGCAGTTCCATCCACAAATTAATGCCAAACAAAAAATAATGGGACAGTAACGTAAGAGCAGTCAGGGCCATCTGGTAATTCCAAACCTCTTCTCTTGTGCACTCAGACCACTTATGTTTCAAAACACGTGTTTAGTTCTCCTTAGAGGGTTTTTTATGGGGTGAGATTGTTGCTTATTTATGTTGTCTTCCCAAGCTCAATTTTCTTCTGGATGGCACGTGCTGAGTGGTAGATCAAGGAGTCAATGAATCCTGCAACTAAAAGGAAAAAACAGATGGATCAAGTCAGACATGCCTCAAAGAGATAACAACTCCCAGGGAAAGAAAACACAAATCCATTTGTCAGTGGAAAAGAATTCCAGCTCCCCCAGTCAGAAAACAGCTGCTGCTGCTGCTGCTACGAAGAACGAGGTCCTCATGTCATTAGGACAGAGAAGATCCAGCTTGCAGGGCAGAGGTGATAACACATCTCCAAAAAAGATCTCTCTTAGAGAAGTAAAAATGAGTCAGGCTGAATCCCGTGTGTTTACTGATGAGTGAGAAGCATTTGGAGAGGAAGCTGATCATTGCCCTGACCCAGGTTGCCAAGGTCATGTTTCCTATTTCCTGCTCATTTCACAGTAACCACAGAAGTAAGCTACTCTCTCCAACACTGCCCTGTATTGGAGACTGCAATGTCTACCCACCAAGGACACAAACCTGCAGTATTTTTCCCAAATCTCTCCAGCACTGAGGGAGCCTATAATTCAATGCTTGTTTGGGACCACAGAAAAGCTCATAATAGGCCTACTTCACCATAAAATCCAGGCAACCCTGCACTCACCAAGGTAGCCTTCACAGGACAGGAACCCTGAACTCCTGCCAGGGAGGGAACACAGGGTGACAGTAAACGAAGACATTTTCAATGTCTTTACGAAGCTTCATGTTCTTTTTTTCTTTTATTCAACACCTCAGTCTAAAAAATAAGTAAGTGACTACTTAGCCCTACACAAAGACAGACATTTCAATACTATATAAAGAGTAGCAGCTCAAATGGCAACCGACTCTTCTATTTTAATAACAGCAGAATACAGAATTATTTGCCTTACTATGTGGTCTTTGAGTAACACTTTTTACTGTCTGTAACAGTCTGTCTTTTGTGGTTCTTTAGTCCTGAAATTATCCCTAGTTGTGGAACCAATTTGATGCTGTAACACAAAAACTGTTACATCGCTGATTTGATCTGTCCTCTAGAATATGAACACAGAGAGCCTGAACACGGCGTAGGCAGCAAACACTGCCCATCAAACCCCATCAGTACCAGAGGGCATCAGCAGTTGTCATGAAAATAATTTTTGAAAATCTTTCCCTGAGTCAGCCAGAGAAAAGCAACCATCACATGTATTAGACAGAAATCCTGTTTAACAGTATCAGGTTAATTGAGCCTTGTGACACCTCAGGTGACAGGAAAGCCTGGCAGATAAAGTGTTATGTGCAGTATTATGTGATATAGGCATGTGATACAGGTGTTATGTGATACAGTAGCTGACTTCTCAGGTCCAGTAAGATCTGCTGACCAGATCTCCAGGCTGGCTTTTCACAGACATCTCTGACTGTCCCAGGGCACCCTGGGTTATTAGCTGGAGTGCGAGGCTGGACCGAGGCTGGGCTCTCTCGCACACATGTTGCTGAGCAGATACTGGGCAGCTATTCCAGAAGCCGGCACTGGGAATGAAGTCCAGACACTCAAACAGCTCTGCATCAACAGCCTCCCCTTATAGGGCCCTGTTTAGGTGTGAGGGCTACTTGTAGTCCCCACAGAGCACTCACTGGAGCTCCTATGTCTGGGAACACAGTTTGAGACCTCTGGGATGGCTATGCCCATGGTAACATGGGCTCAGAGACTTTACTGGCTTCAGTTCCACATGAAAGCAACTATCTGCTTACAGACCCAAGCTGGCCAAGAAAACGGTGCAGATGCATTCATATGGCATGTGAAAGGCTGCATTATTTGAAAACAAAATGTCCTGTAAGGCATCAAAATGAAATGTTATGACAGGCCTACATTACAATGAAATGAAATATTTCATCAAATAAAATATTATAACATGTCCACATCATCTACAGCATCTTGAAAGTCTGCAGTGCTTCTGCAGTGGCAATCTGGTGCCACTCCCAGGGCTCTGCAGAACACACTACATCCCCTCCTGACGGCTGAAGCCAGCTCTCCCCATCAAAGAGGGATTTATTACCAGCCATGCAGACTTTAGAAAGAGTAAGAAGGCGAACATCTACACTTCAGAAAGGAAAAATGTTGAAAGGTGCAATACCTGTAAATATACCTCCAACGATGGCACAAACTCCTGTGAGAAAGTGTGTAAAGGACCTAGAACAAGGAAAAGAATTTGAACAACCAGCATGAGCTCAGATACCAATGTCAGATAGTACCTAATCAAAACTAATTCATAATTATCATTATGTTCATCATAGCACATAAGTATGCACTATATAAATATTAATAGCTGACAATTAACAGATTTAACTTGTATTGGCTACAGAATGGAGTTTGTCACTGGTACTTTTACTAGCAATAAAGCAATAAGCTCAATGGCAACCCTAGGAGGCAAGTACTGAACTTGTAAACCTAAAGGATGGACTTTTAAACCCTAAGAGTCCATCCCTTCCTACCCAGATAGAACGCCCAGCAGGTTGTCGTAACACAAGAACTAAATCCCTAAGCACACGTTGATACAATTGAAGGTATGAACATTGGCTGCCCCTCACTATGATGCTAGAAGATGGGACAGCTACAACCCCTTCCGGTCCCCTGCAATTACACCCCTGTGATTAATGAAAGACCCGGAAAGAAGGAAGAGGTCCCACACTGACTACAACACGCAGAAAAGCTGTAGCACATGGAGAGTAAGTAACCAGGTTGGATCAGTGTGGGGGCTGCTGTAGGTGCTGGTAAGGTGGGTATGCTACATAAATCTAGTCTTCCCATTAAAAAAAGACTTTGAAGAAATTAGTTTGAACCGAAAATCATTATATCAGACCTCTGCTCGCTGCACCAATTTCCTTCTCCATCTTGATAGTGGATTAAAATGCTTCAGCTAATATCAGAAAAACCACAATCCCTTTCAGATGTTCACACTGAGAGGAAGGGCATCTGGACAGGCCTCTTCCTCTCCACTGACTGCAAAGGGGCTCGGATGGCTTTCAAGCATTTGCACTGTAATGCCTAAGTGAGGCTGGAGTTCTGAGCTATGCAAAAGGACAAAATCAATGGAGGGTGAATGAAATAGGTTGAAATGTCTCTTACCTGTGTTTTTCTGTCAGCTTCACCATCATGGGGGAAAGCTCATACAGCACAAATACACCAGGCAGACCCTGGTCTCCCAGTAGCCCGTTGGCTATCTTCTCATGTCGTGTAACCGAAAACTGGTTAGTCCTTACCACCTAGCAGGCAACAAACACAGCAAACATTGTTTTGTTAATGAGGAATAGAAAAGGGACTAAAACACGGGTTCAGTGAACCATATCAATTATAGCCATGCCCACTCACTTGTGGGGGGGCCTGACAGTGGGTCATAAAAATGGTCATAAGAGCACCATCAGGATCAGGTTATTTTACCATTACTACAGGCTATCAGTTAGAGCCCCAGCTAGCCCAGAGCATGAGTGCTGCATCGGTCACCAGGCTGGACTGTTTTGGTGTCTGCTGGCAAGTAATGGCATAAGCTGTATGATAACCTCTCAACCTCAACCCCAAGTCCACGTCATCCTCTACCAAAACGTCGTCCACCTGAGCAGGCTGCAAGGAGAAAGCACTGAAGTGAGAAAGCCACATACAAGGGTGAGAAAAAAAGAAAAGAATACCTAAAAGCATGAGTGCCAGGGCTGCAGAAGGACAGATTACCCATCTTCATATGAATGAAGATCACCCTGCAGCATTCTTCTGCACCCTGCCATTCTTCTAGATGTTTTTCATACCAGTCCTATTCTTAGAGCAAATTAATTTGGTTTCTGTAAAGTGAAAATATGTTTTATCATCCCTAATCAACTGACACAAATTACAATCCAAGCTGAGAAAGATACTATCCAGTTTCTTTCCCAAATTCCCCATTTGGGGGTTCCAAGTACTGAATGTATGACACAGCCCCTGGTATACATCTGGCAGCATACTAGGATCCATAACCCATGCACTACGTTTGCATGGATTCCTCTCCCAGTGACTACTAAAAAGCAATTATTTTGACAGAGAAGTCCTTCGAAATCTGAACAACAGCTCTACAGTAAAAGGAGTGATTTCATCAAGAGAAAGAGAAGCCCTGGTGGCTTATGGCACTGGGAGGTGGCCACAAGAACAGGGCTCCTATTAACTCTCCTTTGTACTTCAGGAATTTCAGTCCTCCACAGAAACTGCAGAGGCGTCCTGAATCCAAGCAGAATGAGCTTGAAACATGGTCTGAAGGTTCTCCCAGTATCACCTCATAGCAAGTAACCTGAATCCAACTTCCAGAAATAAAACAAATGGGTCCTTTCTAGGCAGGGGACTGAAGAAAGAGTGGTCCACATAAGGATTTATCACATGAGAACTGACTCTTGCAAACAGTTTCAATCTTCAGGGCAGAAGAAGAAATGCAAACTACATCTACCTTTCTTTCCAAAGGACTCTGTTGGGTTGCTCTGCCCACACTGCTCTGGGATAGCTTTCCTTGAATTGTATCTGCTGCAGTCATGTGGCTCCTCAGATTTAGGGTTCATATGCAGCCTCTGACATAAATAACAAGCTGCCGGTGATTTACATTCCTTAGTGCTTAAAACAACAGGAAGGTTGCGTGGATGTGCAGCAGTATGCTGTTCTCATTGCAAGGATATGAGGTACATGCCTGAGAGCAGCACGAGTTTGGGTGAAGAGCCCGAGATACTAAGGGTTCCCAGCGTTACGGGCTTTGCACAGTGTTATAAAACTGTGTAGGACAAGGGAGTCCAATTCTGGCGTAGATTCATCCACATGTAGATCAGTCCTTGCACTGAACATGCCCTGGAACCACCCTTGGGTTTCACTTCAGAGGAAATCCACTTGGTGTTAAAGTGAAGCTGGGCATGGACCACCCATGCAGCACAGAAGATAGAGAACTCCAACCCTGGAGGCAGCTAGGGAGATAAGCCATCTTGTACGTGAATGTTGACAGAGGTCCTGGGGCATGTGGCATCTTCTCTTCCTCCCGGGGTCAGACAAGTACACTGGGTAGCACTGGAGGTGAAGTCTGAACACCAGTAGAGCTGCTGCCTCCACTGGTGTTTTCTTTGCAAAAGAAACCTAACAGCTTACATCATTCTGCTGCCCTAAGACTGTGGGGGTCCAAATAATGATAACTGACAGGTTCATTTTGTTATTTAAAGAGATTCTTTTTAGCTCTTGAGATCCCCTGCAAAATTACAGCAAAATAAAAGCTCCCAAATGAAAGAAAAATTTTCTGTTCTTTCTGCTCTCTCAGGCTGGCTTCAGAAGAGAGCAAAAGTTTGTTTCTGTTCTTAGGATCTTCAACTCACCCCGGTATCTCCTTGGTAATTTGTTTATCTTACCTGTCCTGAAAGAAGGATGTATTCTGAAAGCAGGGCTGGAAATCTAGCCACACTCTTCTGGAGGCTAAAGGAGTTTTTAAATTGAAGACAAGTTGCCTGATCCGGGGTTAGTCTCCAAAGAACATTGTTTAGGTTCTCCTTGCTGCTTTACCTTTACCTGAGCGTGCACTAGGAGTGATTCATGAGGGAACGTGATGAAAACGGCATGGTCACTTTGATCTAGGTGGGATGGAGGAGGCTGAAATCTGTTTCATCACTGCTGCAACATTACAGCGAACCATACACCATAGAAATTGTTGTTCTTACTGGTGCAGTTATACGAAGAAAGTCAAACAGATTGTGTAGTTTCCACCAGAGGGCAGATATGGTCAGCGTCAGAATATGAGGAGAAAGTCTGAATGCTTTCACTTGCCAAAGCAATAGGGGAAAAAATGGTACTTACCTCACCATCTACTTTCATATACACTGTGGGGACCACCTTGACAAAATACTGAAACATCATGGAAGCTATAAGCAAAGACAGAGAGACACAATTAATAACTGGCAAAGAGCTGGAAACCTTAACTGACAGGTTAGGTAGACACAAACTGGTTTTGTTCAACTTGTCTGCGAACAGTTTTCTACGCAAGAGATCCTGGAGGTTTTCAAGGACAATAAAGTTAATGTCTGACATGAGTTTTCCTTTTGCCAAAGTGAATCTCGTTCCTGTTCCAAACAAAACCAAAACTGCTTTCATTTTGGCCTTGACTAAATTGAAAACATTCTACAAAAGTTACCTTGCTAGACATTTACCAGTACAACCTCTTGAAAATTTTTATTATAGTATATGAAAGCACTTATATGTAACAGCATGGCCCTCAGCAAACATACTCAACTCTAAAGGAGTATCCTGTATCACTTCAATTAACACTACGGTTTATTACTGCAGAAGCATGGTTTCTATCATATCAGATAAAAAGATCTGGATCAGTGAATAGAAAAACTGAACTCCTTCTGCTGCCTCAGACCAGCCCGTTCCTTCAGTTCTCTTAAGAATAATGGAAGGCAGGAGTCACAAAAAACCCCTATTTTCAAATGCCCTGAAGCTCAAGGGCAGCCTTGACTGCAGTGACCATGAGATGGTGGAGTTCAAGATCCTTCAGGTGGTGAGGGCAGTGCACAGCAAGCTCACTACCCTGGACTCCAGAGAGCAGACTTTGGCCACTTCAGGGATCTGCTTGGCAGAGTACGGTGGGATAAAGCCCCAGAGGGAAGCAGGGCCCAAGAAAGCTGGGTGATATTCAACCACCTCTAAGCTCAGGAGCGACGTATCCCAACAAAGAAGTTAGGTAAAAATGCCATGGATAAACAAGGAGCTCCTAGAGAAACTTAAACTCAAAAAGGCGGCCTACAGAGAGTGTAAGCAAGGACGAGTAGTCTGGGGGGAATACAGAGAAATTGTCCAAGCCAGTGAAAGTTAAAAGCCAGTTAGGGAAGCTAAAGCCCAGATAGAGTTAAATCTGGCCAAGGACATCAAGGGCAACAAGAAAAACTTCTGTAGGTATGTCAATGACAAAAGAAAGATTAAGGAAATTGTGGCCCCTATCCAGAAGGAAACAGCAGACCTGGTCACCCGGGTCACAGACAAGGCTGAGGGACTGAACAACAAGCCCTGAGGAAAGGGACTTGGGGGTTCTGGTGGACGAGAAGCTGGACATGAGCAGGCAGTGTGCAGCTGCAGCCCAGAAGGCCAATCCCATCCTGGGCTGCATCAAAAGAAGCGTTGCCAGCAGGTCCAGAGAGGTGATTCTGCCACTTTACTCTGCTCTGGTGAGACCTCACCTGGAGTATTGTGTGCAGGTCTGGAGCCCTCAATATAAGAAGGATATAGACCTGATGGAGAGGGTCCAGAGGAGGGCCACAAGGATGATCAGGGGGATGGAGCACCTCTGCTACAAGGACAGGCTGAGGGAGCTGGGGTTGTTCAGCCTGGAGAAGAGGAGGCTCCGGGGAGACCTAATAGCAGCCTTCCAGTACCTGAAGGGAGCCTACAGGAAGGCTGGGGAGAACCTGTTTAGAAAGGCCTGTAGTGACAGGATGAGGGGAAATGGCTTCAAGCTGGAGGGGAACAGATTTAGATTGGAGATTAGAAGGGGGTTCTTTACTGTGAGGGTAGTGGAGCACTGGAACAGGTTGCCCAGGGAGGTGGTTGAGGCCCCATCCCTGGAGATATTCTATAACTTTTTTTGCCTTGGTCTTCACCGGTGAGGGCTCTAACCACAGCACCACAGGCAACGGCAGGGACTGGAGAAGACCAGGTTCAAGGCCATCTGAGGAACCTGAAGGTGCACAAGTTCATGGGACCTGATAAGATTCCTCTGTGGGTCCTGAGGGAACTGGCGGATGAAGTTTCTAAGCTGCTTTCCACTGTATTTGCAAAGTTGTGGCAGTCCGGTGAAGTTCCTGCTGATTGGAAAAGGAGAAACGTATCCCCATTTTCAAAAAGGGAAAAAGGAAAGACCTGGAAAACACAGGCCAGTCAGTCTCACCTCTGTGCCCAGCAAGATCATGGAGGATATTCTCCTGGAAACTCTGCTAAGGCACACAGAAAATACAGTGGTGATTGGTGACAGTCAACATGGTTCCACTAAAGGCAAATCGTGCCTGACAGATTTGGTGGCCTTCTATGGTGGGTGTTACAGTGTTGTTGTTGGTGGTGTTACAGTGTTGTTGGAGAAAGGAAGAGCAACAGATATCACCCCCCTGGACTTGTGCAAATCATTTGACACTGTCCCGCATGACATCTTGGTCTCTAAACTAGAGAGACATGGATTTGATGGATGGACCACTTGGTGGATCAGGAACTGGCTGGATGGCCGCACTCAAAGGGTTGCAGTCAATGGCTCTGTGTCCAAGTGGAAGCCAGTGATGAGTGCCATTCCTCGGGTGTCTGGGACTGGGACCAGTGCTGTTTAATACCTTTGACGGTTGAATCGAGGGCACCATCAGCAAGTTTGCCAACGACACCAAGCTGTGTGGGGCAGCTGACACTCTGGAGGAAGGGATGCCATCTGGAGGGACCTGGACAGGCTGGAGAGGTGGGCCCGTGTGAAACTTATGAAGTTCAACCAGGCCAAGTACAAGGTCCTGCATGTGGGTCAGGGCAATTCCAAGCACAAATCCAGGCTGGGTGGAGAATGGACTGAGATCAGCCCTGAGAAGGACTTGGGGGCAATGTGTGTGCTACCAGCTAGCTACAGGCCACATCTCAGAGAGTTTCTTACTCCACAGAAAAACTACAGCATCACGATCATATTGAGCATTATGACACCTTTCTTTTTTTCTTTTCTTTTCTGTATTTAATTTTAAGCACCATCCTTTGATTTAGATGAAAGAAATAAAATTGATGGTGGAAAATTTAAAGGAAAGGATTCAGGTACAATTAACAATCCACCACCACCTCAAAGCAAACAACTTCTTTCTCCAAGCTTTATTATATGGCAGTACCCTAAGTACCCACAAACTTTGCAGACTTCAGCGGATCTAAAGAAATAACTAATTTCTGCAGTTGCATATAAAATGGCATGGTCAGGATCTTTCGTGGAAAATGCACACAAGCTGTGTGAATAAACCAAGATTTCAGCTTGAGCAGCAGTAGCATGAGGAGAGAATTGCCTTTCCTTCTTAAGCCATCCAACTGCACCTATCTAGGAAAGATCAGGGATATTTTAACTGCTCTGCACCTGTTCAGCTATTACTGTTGGCTAGATCCAGGTCGGGCAGACACCACGATTCTCCAGCAAACATCACTTAGGCCTTTCCTTCCCTATCCTGCATCTTCTGGTTATCTCTTACTGCACGCAGTAGCTAGACAGGGCTCTCCTTGAACTTCACCTGACGCAGGCAGTTAATAATGATGTGCTATACCTGCTGTTGTGCATCCCAAACACTGAAAAGAGAGATCTTTCAGAAAGGTCACAGAATCAAAACACGTTGGCAGATTTGCTCCAGATGAACGGAGGCAACTGTTCCAGAAAGAGCACAAGGTGGAGGAGTCTCCGTTTTACACAGTGCTGTCAAGGTTCTTGTTAAAGACTAGGAACTTTGCACCTGCTCTCTTCTAACACTTATTAATACAGACTTCTCTCAGCTGGTTTTACCTTGCTGTGCAGTGACGTCTGTCCCATCCAGAGGGTTCACAATGCCTGGATAATCCCTTCCAAATGAGAGATGTTTGATATAGTGTGTCATATTAATCTGAAACAGAAATGTTAATGACTCAAACAACTGCACAGCATCCCAGGGGAAAGGTAAGGGGTTGAAACTTCATTTTTTGTACATTTTTTTCTGAGTGCGGCTCTGAAAGACAGACAGGTCCTCCCTTACTCTGTGTGTCCTAATAGCAAACTCCAAAGCACTTGCTCTTCTTTTTTTATTCATGGAAGATTCTGAGATTTGGAATTTCTTCTTTTCCTGCTGGAAATCCCCAGATCCCAGCACCCTTCCCTCCCATCTAGAGAGCAGGCTCTCCCACCCATTCCTCGCCCTGGCAATGGAGCATCAGGCTGTCAGCTACCTCAGTGGCACATCATCTGCTTTTCTCCCAGCACAAGGTAAACTCCAAGAGACCCAGAAGCAGTCAGGAAAATGTCAACCTTAGAAAATTGGAAAGTGCAGACTAAGGAGCACGGCAGTCTCAGGAAGAAGCAAACAGGCTTGCCAAGCACCACACAGATGTCCCAGAACGTACTTCAGAATCCTGTGTGAAAGCAGGTTCCAGCATCTGTTCAGACTTACATAGCCAAATCCAGCTGGGATCAGTACACTAGGATCTAAATGTGGCAAAGGCAGGGAAATCCGGAAGGGAAACAGACCAAGAGAACCAGAACACTATCTTGGAAACACTTACGTTATCAAGTCCGAAGCTCTGCAGATCGTGAACTGCAATAGAAAAACAGTTAAACAATATAGTTCAGACTGTGACAACAAGCGTATCTATTTACCTTATTCTAGTTTCTAAGGGAGGTCCTCTTATTTCCATCGCAATCTAAAATGGCAAGAAAACCAACTGCGTTTCTCTCTTCATGGCAGTCGGGCATGTGATAGATTAAACTGCTGAAATTCCCCTCCTGACATAGATGAGACACTGCCAGAGTGAAGGAAAGTAACTTTAATTTGGGGCTTAATTCAGATTAAGTATTTCAGTCCTCACCGAACATATTCTTAATCTAGGGCAAAAACAAGATCCTGGGGCGAGCAAGGAAAACTTCACTGGTGTCTGTGTCACCACCTGACACACGTAACTTCTCCAACTACTGTAAAACACAGAGGCACAACAGATCTAAACTAACACCTGAGCAGAGCACATGCCTTGGGATCACATGCAAGCGCCCTAAGAAACGATGGCCATCTTAGCAGCTCCCAGTGCTCTGCCCATCGGCCTCGTTACTGCTGCCCAGAGAACATGCAGGGAAAGAAAAGTCTGTGCGGGGATGGCCTGAGCAGGGACAGCAAACCATTGGTGGGCCAAGACGACTGTCACCTGTGCTAGGATTTGGGGAATTTGGCCTGCCCTCTCTCTGCTCTTCCTCCACACAGCAGTACGACGATGCTGGCAGCACCACACACCCCAAAAAGGGATCTGGCAAAGATACAGGCAATGGGTATCTTTTGGTTGGCTACTTATGTGACTTATGTGATGCCAGAAGCATCAGTCTCAGGATGAAAATACAACTTACAACTCAATTTCAGTATCGTTCCTACACAATCATCTTAAAGTAGCCAGAGGCTGTGGTGCGTTTTACCAGGTAAATTCACATGCTCAGGAAGCCATACCTCACCTGTCACCTTCACAAAGAAAAAACAATTCAACAATTGTGGGCTGTTATTTTAGGAGCTGATGGAGTCAAATCACCAAGCGCTGCTACATGATTAACAAAGATTAGGAATTCTGCTCCCTTAAAGGGTTTCTGATATACAGCCTAGCACACTACCGGCTGCAAAGCTAAAGAACTGATTGAAACTAGCCTCTCCTTTAAAATGTTTCCTTAACACGACTGTGCTTCAAACTGATTTTTTTCCTATTAACGTCTTTCAATAAAACACCAGAGACTTTACTTGTATTTATAGAAAACCCTTACTAAACCTAGAGATATATACATGTAAAACAGAGAATGTACCGTTAGAAAAGTAAATGCCAAGCCTAAGCTATACTTCTCCTAATGCTCTGATCTAGGGAGAGCACCTTGCATTTCACAGTTAAAATGTTCAAGGCTCAGAAACTAAGGCTGCAGCCATTGGAATTAAGGCAATGGTTCTGGATTACAAAGAGCTCAGAGCTGCACTGGCTTCAAATATTCCTCTTGCTGTCTCTGACAGGCATGCAGACTTATCCCTGCCACTAGCACAGCAGCTTGTGTCCCTGTGCTGGCAACTGAATCAAAGAACTCATTTGGCTTTTTAGAAAGAAATTCCTACCAAGAATTTAGAAATGTGAAATGGTGGACAGGAAAAGGAGAAAAGGGAAAAGTGGCCTTGGGATTATGCTATGCTATTTTCTGAACAGTTACCAGCAACACCCTGTTTCATGCTGCACTGTTACTTGCACTTGAATCAAGAGTGAAGTGGCTTACCCATCAGTGAAGTGTCAAGTCCTGCTGCCTTCTGTACAGACACCAAGAGGCTAACCTTCAGTTAATAAATAAAGTTCCACAGAGATCCTGACTCTGGTAGATCTGCATTTAAGCTGGACTTACTGCCGAAGGAATAAAACAGTCTTTGTTCCCCCATCTTTCTGTTGATGGCTCGTTCTTGTCCTACCCTCCTTCATGAGCCACATCAGAGAACAAACCAGGCTGAAAGGTAAATAATTGCTTTATGTGAGGCTATTCCTCCAGCCAGGGCAGCTCCACAGTATGGTTAATCACAGAGCTGCAGGAACGCCGTGCTGGTGCAGTGCAGCAACACGCAGGGAGGGACAGGGATGCTCTTCCTGGCAGTGGTGCTCCTGGAACCCCAGGCAGGATTATGGTGTTTATCAGCTTTACTGCCTGGGGAGTCACAGTCGTTAGCATGTGAAGTGGGATATGAAGCCCAGTAAGGCTGACAAATCCTACAGGCACAGCACAGTGCCACAGAAATCCAAGGGAGCACTTGAGAAAGACCAGTGATTAACTAACCTGTTAGACAGATTTACATCGTGCATGACTGATTTTAACAGTTATGGCTATCCACGGGGCTCAGCTGTGACCTCCACAGATAAAACACCCATTACTTAGCTTTTATAAAATCCCTCTCCAATAAATAATTTACAACTCTGCAAAAAAGTATAATTTATATGTTCAGTTTCTAAAAGTCTTCCACTAGACCAGAGGTTTATTTATCTCTGATCCCTGAGGATTATGCTAAGCACATGTACATATACTCTAGGTTGCAGATAAATGTTTAGCTAGCCATAGTTTGCTTAACAACACTCCATTTAGCCTGCTTAGAGAAGAAACAGAATGAAGAAACAGAACAGAACATTTTAAGAGACTGCTAGGAACACAAACGCATTCCTTTCTTTCTGTAACTGCAGCCAAGCACCTAGCTAGGTAAAATAAAGAGACCTGTAAAACATCTTAAGTTTGCCAAGAATTCCGTCCGTTTTTATATAACCTACTTTTTTTCACTGTTTTAGTAACACAGTTTTAAGAACTGCTGTCTCTTTTGAAGAATTCTCCTCATTTTGCATTTCTGACCTGAACAACCACAAGGCCTCCTTAGACTCTGAAATTCAGTTCTTTACCTGTAAAAATGGGGTTAATAGCAATTACAGCTACTCAGGACTATCAATAAACACACTAAGACTGCAAGAAACCCAAGGCGCAGCTGCCCAAACACATTGCTCCGATGCGAGATAGGACCCCAAATATTAAACTGTGGATGAACTTTGTGGAGGAAAATATCTTACAGGAGCACAGTGGCAGGAAGATGCATCGTGAAGAGGGGACTGAGGCAGGGAACACCACACAAAACGTTGTGGTGAGAAGAGGCAGTGAGCAAAGCTGAGAGCCAGAGCCTTCTGCCAGATGTTACTGAGTCAAAACACATCTCAACCTGTAACCACCATGATTACCATGTAGTGGGAGGTGTCCCTTCCCATGGCAGGGGGATTGGAACTAGATGATCTTTAAAGTCCCTTCTAACTCGAAGGTCCCTTCTGACTCTTTGATTCTACGATTACCCTTTAAAAAACCCAATGGTTTGCAAACCCTTAGAAGACCTCCTACTGAGTATTCTGAGATTAGCAGACTTGGGGCATGAAGGCTCACGAGAAATTATCTGACCTGTTGTACAAATGAGATTAAATTAAATTATTATTAATTAAATTATCCTGTTTGACTTCAAAAGGCAGAAGTCTCTCCAATGTGTCACCGTGTCCCCCTCAACTACATTAGCTGCATAGAGCAACTAATAATCCACCAACACATTATCTCCAACACTGATATATTAAATTGTTGATTCTCAGACTCTTTCATCTGGTGACCTCGTTTACTACAGAAGAATGACCTGGGATGGCTCTCCTTTTAGCTTTCAGGAAATCTCAAATCTCAGCACAGATAACAGCTCCTCCCAAAGGACATTTATGGGCACAGCAAATAATAGAAAGTACATTAGTTCTGTAGTAAATGGTTTTGGGGAAAAAAACCCAACAACAACAACAACAAAAAGTTACAGCAAGACTTACTCTCAACAGCGTGCACTGCAAAAATGAGCAGAGTAGGAGAGAAAAGAGAAATATTCAGATCCTTAAAATGAAAAGATACAGAGATTCAGACAGAGCAGCATTTAAAACTCATACCAAAAAGGGGAAGAATAACAGCTTTGCTGGTGTGCTCTCTACACCATGTAAAATGACTCCGTAGGTAGCCAAAGAACTGATATATATGGACAAGCCATCATTTCAAGAGTAACAGGAAACAAAAATGCAGGAATTAATTGCTAAAAGGAAAAGTACAGTGGGATGTCCATGTATGTTACGTGAGCTCTAAAGCAGCATGGCAGGTACCAATGCTGGTTATATTTAGATTCTTCTTCACTCTTAAGGTAACAGAAAGGTCATTTTAGGAGCAACCAAAGCTACCCAGAAATGCACTCAAGGCTTACATTCACAACATATTTACGTTCAAAGCTGGGTAACAACTTTGTGATATTGATCAGTCCTGTGCTTCCTTCATCGCATCTGATGCACAGAAAAGGTAGCAAACCATGAGGTCATTTTTGTTCCTTCTGTTGCAAGATCCCAACAAAGGCGAATACCTGGAAGGACGGTGGGGAGGGGAAACATATGTTTGGATGGCATCTCTCAAAGGAGACCAAGTAACCTCCTTTTTTGTTTGTTTCGAAAGACTGTTCACATATATTCAACAATGTGCATCACTAACCCATAACTGTCACAGACTCACACCTCCCAGAGGAGGGTCTTTGAAGCCTTCACACAGCACTTTCGATCCACTTTGCCAAATGAGACATCCCTGGTGGTGCTTCTACAACAGCATGCCTTTTTGATATGGAGAAGGTATGGAAGGTATGGAGAAGCTGACAAATGTCACGCATTCCCACAACCAGTACAACTTGAGCTCTGACAGATTATAGCCCAGTGACAATTGGAAATGTGACTTTTGTGGTCTCCAAAACAGACCTCATATAACTTGAAAACGGGTAAGACTTTGCAGCTTTCAGCACCAAGACAACTAAACTTTGGAAGGAGTTTACCAGCGTAAAAAGGAAAGTCCTTAGCAATGCTCGGGATGGAGTAAGAATCTCAGCCTTCAGTATTCAGTTCAAGGATGAAAGCGGCTAATTCCACAGCAGATACTACTTTGGGACAGAAGTTAGAATGAGCTCACACAAACACACGCTATGGAAGGAGCAGTGTACAGGTGATCAACCAGAGGATT